CCATATAAATTTGTATTGATTTTAGCCTTGATGAATAGGTTTCTAAAAGCTTAAGAATTATCATTATTACCAAATTTGTCCTTTTTTAGCCAAATCTTTATTCTTGATGCCTTTTAAATAGTCAATTATTGCTAGCAATGCCTTAAGCAATAAACTATTTTAAAGTATTTACTTTTGACATCGTCAGTAATAAATCTTTGATATTATTCTTTAACCTATATCCTAATTGATTGATAAGTGCTTTATTATTTCAGTCCATATCACAAGCAAGATTTTAGAATTCAACAACATATATGGTGGCTAATCTTGATATTTATTATAAAGATAAGAGTTCAATTTTAACTACTCTTTTTCAATCACTTTTTTCAAATGTGGCTGTAAATACTTCTAAGAATGAATTCAAAAAATAAAGCAATCTTGAATCCTATTTCATCAAAGATGCAAATTAAAAGAAAGTACTTCTAGATAAAAGTATGTTTATGAATCCAACTTGAGTAAATCCATCAAGATATTGGAAAGTATGCAACTTTAGACAAAACTTGACTTATTCCAAAAATCTTCAAAAATTTGATCTTGTTCCATCAAACTTTTTAGGCATAATATTCCTTGCCTCTCTTGTATTTATAAAAGAAAGACTTCTTGAATTTGGTTGTGAAATCAATCTACTTGCTTCCTTTAATTACACAACTTCTTTGCATAGACTCTTAACTCTTTTCATAGGCGTAAGAATAGTATTTTTCTCATTGGCATTGATGATGCATGAAATTTCCATCTTAAGAGTATTAAAAAATTTGTGGAGATCTGCAATAGTTGCAAATATGTTCTCACTTTCACTAAGTGTAGCATCTATGATTTTTTCTTCTATTCCAAATAACTTAATAAATCCACAAGTCAAATTAGAAGAGGGTAATTTAGAACCTGTAATATCAAATGAGAATTTTTACAAAGAGGGATAATCCACTCTCTTTAAAAAATAATTATTAAAAAAATAAATGTTAATTCAAGGTGAGTAGTTTGTAACCTTTGAAACAGAAGAATAGAAGTGGATGAATCTACTTATTTCTAAAAGAAAGGCAAGAACAATGAATTAACATTCTTGTTAATCCATCAAGAACAAAAACTCAAAAAAAATATCTAAAGAAGTAAGAAATAAATTAAAAAGAAATGAAAAATTAAAAATAAGAAAGTAAATATATTTAATAAGAAATTAGAATGGCTATTGCCAAAGGCTAGAAAATTACAGATTCTTGAAACTAGATTAGAAGCAAAAAAAAATTAATAAGAATGAAGAGGGCTTCACCCTTGCTTCTATATATACTATCTACCTAAGAGCTACATGGCAATATTCAATAAGACCACAAACATGTGCCTAATTTGTCAGACATATGTCTTAACTTGTAAGGCAAAATTCCTATAAGTGCACCACATTGTTAGCTTTTACCACAAGATATCAATACATGTGACATGTGATTAATTTGTTGGCAAAGTTTCTAATCTACCAATCACTTATAGACATGTATAAAGGTGAAATCACATCTATGAAGCTTCTAGGAATCTTTTCTACAAAATATTATCAAATTATTTTTTATCTTCTTCTACATATTCACATTATCTATATAATTATAGGTATATTTGTGACAATTTAATTTTGCTTATCTAAATAATTATAAGCAATAATTAAATTTATAATATTTTTTTATAAAATTTCTATAATATAAAAAAATAACCTTATACACGATATTAAGTGGTTTATAAAAATAATATAGTAGGTATTGTTTATATATTTTTTAATTAAATAATATGATATTAATATATCAACTTATTTGTAAGAAACATTCAAGAAGACAAATAATAAGTTGATTCTAATAGTAGTTTATACATCTTGAAGAAGATTTGAAAAACATCTTGTAAGTATCATTATATGCAAACTTAACTATATATGTTAAAAAAGTTATTTAATTAAATATATTCACATATAAATATTCTATTATAAATTCATTGTTTTATTCTATTGATAATAATAATATAAAACAAATAATTTTTATAATATGATGTTATAAATTTATATATATATATATATATATATTCTTTTAGTTTTTGTAGAAAGTAATATTTCTAATTGAATTACCATTGTGTAAGAAAAATTATTAATATAATAAATAAAAAACTAAAAATTATTCTATATATATATATATATATATATACTATATATATATAGATATTTATGGATGATATAGCTAATAGTTTTGGCAATGACATATTTTTTAATTTTATATGTATGAGAAGGTAAATTTAAAAAAATAATAGAAAAATCAGATAATGATTTTTTATTTTACTTATGATGCCATAAATATATGTATAATTTTTTTGTTTACTTTTATCATTAGTATAAATTTACAGTAATGTATCAAAAAATATATGTATAAATATTTAAATATATGTTATTTATAAATATTTGTAATAGAATAAGATTTAATTTTCTTTGAATGACAACAAAAATCTATTTTGGAATCAATCTTAAGACAATTTATGCTTAATAATTGCTATATATATATATATTTTTTTTTTCAATATACTTTCAGTGATGTTTATATTATTAAACATCATATTTTTAAATATATTTTATAGTTAGGAGGATAATAAATAGACTCAGCTTTTTACTAAATTGGCCATGATGAAGAATATGGTAGTCATGATAAATGTGGTTGATTTTCATAGGTTTTGGGATCCAATAGTGGAGAAATGAATCTAGATGTCATTTGTTTATTTCTTGATGGTTAGAATAGGTGAATAAATTTAGTAAAAGCTTTAATCTATTTAACATTCCTCTCTCTTTCTCTCTCTTTATATATATATATATATATATATATATATAATATTTTATATATTTTTTAATTTTGCAAATCAAATAGATTATGTATTTTGAGATTTTTTTTTTTTTTTTTTTTTTTTTTTTTTGTTTAGTTTCAATATCATCAAAAAAAATTAGAATTTTAATAAATAAAATAATGAAAAGAAATTGATGATGAAAAAATGAAATATCTTATAAGATCATCTAATTAACTAGTAATTATAACTTTCTACAATAAACTTTAAGCTCTTATTTCTTTATTTATCATCCAAAAGAATAAAATGTAAATTAGATATTTAATTATTAAAATCTGAAATTGATCGAGTAGCAGTGGAGCATCCTCATTGTTAAAAAGGTTGCAAATTTCAAGGAGAAGAGTTTACAAATAAATATTTATAGTGAGAATTTCAATAAGTGGATGGTATTTGGAACTCTATCAATAGGCTTTATAAATTTGAATAATATCATTATTTTATTTGGATGAGTAAATCAGAATACTCCTGTTCAATTATATGCGTATACATACCATCCCACATAAATTATAATGCAGCAAATGTTTTTAGTAAATTAGTAAGTAATCAATAAAAGCTTAAATCGTTATTTTCTTTGATATATCCATTAGATTTTAATGATTTAATTGTCTTAGGTCTGATATTTGTATTAAAAATTCATCTGAAAGTTGAACAAAAGTTAAGAAGAAATTATCTAAATATACTATCAGAAAAGAAAATTCACATAAAAATGTTATTTTAGAAATGTCTAATGAAGAACCTTCTATAATAGTGAGGTGAGATGAGTTTCCAAAAAATGGCAAACCGCTGTATGACAATATTACTGTGTTTTATTAGATGTAGAGATTCAAAGAGACTTCTCACGCAGAGCTGTCTCTACTTCTACTTTGGCCACAAGCAACACAGCAAAAAGAAAGAAAGAAAATGGAATGTTGCTTAATTCCAAGTGTAGTTTCTATTTTCAACAAACCCTTATATTGAGAAAATATATCTTCTCAAAACTTGAATCACATGAACATACTCCAGTTGTCCAAGCTGAGTAGGTGTTTTTTGCTCATTTCTCAAAGATTTTCCTCTTATTATTGTTGACTGCAATGATGCACAATACGAAGATCCAAGCAGAATGCAAAGTTTGAGTATTGTGGGGGACGAAGCTCAATTGGAAAGCATAGGTCATGTAACTGCACAAGCTCTTCCATCTTTCAAAGAAAAAGGAGATAAAGGGCTAAGTGTGAGCAATTTTGCAAGCAGCAAAGAAATATCTTTCTTGAAGCTTTCCAACGAAGATGGCTGGTTTGACGCCATTGTGATAAATTGATGTGATGATGCAATGCCATTCAGACCTCCTCACAATCATTAAAGCTTCAGGCAACAATATCGTACACTACGGTAATAGCTGAAGTAAAGTAGGGGGGGGAGTCTCATGGCCCATCACTGCGAGTCTGATGCGTGCTCTCGATAGTCACCTAGCACTGCAGAGCGGCGAGAGTACAATGCCATCGAGTGGATGGGTGTCATCCTCCGGATGGCGGTGCCTAATCCTCACAAGGACAGGCCTGCTTGTGTTCCTGGGACGCTGAACTTCGATGGCGAGTGGTAAGGTTCGTTTTGAGGTAAGGAGTACCCAGAAGCGAATGACGACAGTCAGCCTCAGATCTGCTGATGCTGTGGGTGAGACGAGACCCCCGAGTAGTTACGTGGGTGCGTGTGGTTAGAACGTTGTGAAACGGTTACCGTCTCATTGTCGGTGTAGCACAGTTGTTCAGGGGCGGAAAGGCGAAGACAATTCAAAAATCAACATTGTTGGGTGAGTATATACGAGGGGGATCTATTCCATTGACACGTGTGCTTAGAGTGATTTCCTTGTGGCACAGTCCTCTAGCCCACGGAATGATCATTCCTGCTTCGGCTAGTCATGAAAGTATGCTCATACAGAAGGCATCTCATTGAGCCTAGCACTGACGTGGATGAACAAAATACAAAATACAACTGTGAGGGTATATGGAGATATATGGCTAGGGTTTGATGAGGTTAGTATCACGTGTACTTAAAATGCTCAGCAAACAACCCATCCCTCTATCGTTCGATAATCTCACCAGCACGACATAAGCACCAATTAGAAAAAGAAATGGATTTAGTGACTAGTCAATATCAAAAATATGCTTCACTGATTGTCTGTGACTCGGCAGTCACCGCTGAAAGTACATCTCTTTCTGATTACTTAAAAAGAAAACACGCTAAGCTGTCCAAAACGATTCTAAAAAAACGCACAGCCCGGCCCCATGACCAGGGGATTCTGACGAGCGAGGCAACCATGTTCATGATTTTTGTCAAAAGCCCCTGAGCAAAGGGTCTGTAGAGGCTGTAACATGCAGCAGTACAAGAGAGACAACTACCACGTATGTACAAAGACAACCTACACAAAGTCTTTCCTTTCCCGTACAATCACCACACATCATAAGGGAGGGACACCTGCGCTTCATCAACTGATTTCCACAATCGTCCATGGGTACTGCAGAGTCTGTTGGAGAATGATGCGGCCTCACAACCCCAACTAGTATTCTTGTAAGGTACGACATTACATGCGGCACCTTTGAAGAAAAGATGACACCCCTGCATACTTATAACATTTCAACGTGATTCCTCACAAAAAGAAAAGAGTTTATATCTGAACTCCAAATTTGAAGTGACCGGCAAACTTTCGATCCCTCACGCACATGCATTGAAAAACCCGCCAGGGGACTTCAGAAGCCTTGCCAGCCCTTCGAAGTCCTCGAGGTACATAGACAGCATCATTGCCAAAATGCGGCATTCACTGCCGACAGAGGGTGTTATTCAGGCGACAGAAGAAAGGTGATGCCACACCATACAGGACTATGGTCGGCAAGCTCAGCATGTCTGCATAGACATCTCAGTAATAGTGTGAACCATCTCCCGACCACATTACCATGCAGGGGCTGAGTGGAGAATGTGTGCACATCCCTCTACCATGCCCCACCTTCACAGGAAGTCCTGAAACGCATATCGTACCCGAATCCGATGATGTCACTGATGCATCCACATGTACAGAGATGATTGTTTGCTGAAGGGATGAAAGACCCTCACGCATTGAAATCATACCTGCTGGACGGAACGAAAAGGCCTACATGAAAGTTTCTGGAGACATCCATACAAGGAGTGAACTTCAATCCCCTAGCGCATGAGAGAAATGGTGTCATGAGGCGTCCGAAACGCGAGGAGATGTCAAGGGGAAGAGCGTTAACAGCTCAGGCTGTTGTCGAGGCCGTTCAGGAGCAGGTTGCAAATAGAAAATAGGGTCACGGTCGAGTCTAACTTCTTCTTCCCTTGGTCGAACGCAAGGTTGTCCCTCGTAAGAAGTTGGTGTAGTTGGAGCATGCGAACTTTCGAATACGTCTTTGGTTAGGGGAGTCACAGGACTGGCAATGCAGGAAGGAAATTTCGGCGAAAGGTCTGGAGTGGGTGAACCACCACCATAACCGGCAACGCCTCTTCGAAATGCAGCTGCGGCACCCAGCCCCTTCACGTCCAACTTTCTCATATTGGACTGTCGTCTTTCATGCAGCTTAAATGCAGGCCTTCGTGCGCTCAAGTCACCCACAGGCTTGGGTATAAGACCACCGTACGTGCCATCCATCTTGAGCGCGTTGCTGTCACCTCCTCCTCGGGAAGCTTGGCGCGAAGGTAAGGTAATCGGGAGCTTCTCTACATCTGAATCAGATGCTCCGGTCAACTTCTGCACAAGCTCTCTGAAGCTCGATGTGTCCACTTGTACGAATGTGGTTGTGGATGCAAACTCTTGACTCCCATCCTTGTCCACCAAGCTCAGAGACCCAAGCGCAGACGTTGGACTTTGAGGCACCTTTGTGGTGCTCCTTGAGGTCGGAGATGACACTGGCGCTCCGCAATTGGAGTTGCTCGACGTTCCACCACAGCTGAACGCCCCGCCTCTCCTCATCTCTACACCCTTCTCTGCAACACTCTCCAAGCAATCCCGGATGCAATCTCACCCTTGAAGATCGGCGCTTGATCGACAGCTAGCAACCAAACATTATCCTCCACTGACGAGCAGACCCAAGACATATAAGAACATAAACACACCCCTAAGCTGTCGCATAGCTCGCAAAACTACCCTGAAAACCGCCCCGCAAAATGTGCTAAACTTGTATGAAGACTATAGATAGCACTCCCAAAGAGAACCCAATAAACAGATGCAACGATGAGCTCATTGGTGACCCAAAGCACAACCATAATCCCCAAAACACATCCACGAAGTCCACCCACTGCAGTGTCGTTCAAAACCTCCAACAGAAAAAACAAAAACGATTTTTAACATAATAAAATAGAATAATTATAATAAACAATTTATATAATGCCTCGCGTGAACGACGAAGGGGGAAAAAAAAAAAAAAAAAAAAAAAAAAAAAGCGCAACGGTGGGTACCAAACCGGCACGATAAACGCTAACCTGCGAAACCTCAACGAAGATGCGCTCAAGAGCCAAGCCCCCGAAATACGAAGACGAAGCGAGAGAGCGGAAGGGCAAAGCGGGCTGACTCGAAGACAGCAAGCGAAGCGGGGGAAAGGGGGGAAGTGCGCAAGAGAAAGAGAGAGTGCCGGAACAGATCGAAGGAAAAAGAGTTTCCCTACCTTTACGGCACATGGAACGGGTGTTGACAACTCTCACCCGCCCAACGTCCACCCGTCCCCATCCATCCCCACCCGTCCCCTACCCTTGCTCTCTGACATGAGCTGCCCGCCTGATACCCTCCTTACCATCCCGATACCCACGCTGGCCACAACGCCTCGGATTATATTTAGATCGGGAGGTGTTGACCTCTCGTTCCTTTTCTCCACAGTCTTGTTTCATCGCTGTGCGATGAAACATTTTCTTGTGTTGTTGATCCCTTCAGGTGCTTTCAAATGAGTAGGCCAGGGTCAGCCGAATTTCCACTCCTCTTTCCTGCACCTTAAAAAGAAACTTCAAATCCCAGTGCCGTTCTCTCAGTTGACTTTGTGTTAACGCTGTTTCTGCTGCTGCTGCGCCGTGGCTGCGGGGTGTGTCTCTCCTCTTTCTCTTCCGCTCGGTACGAAGTCTCCCCTGAGTTCCCTGCTTCAATCTGATTTTGTGTTTGTCAACGTGGAATGTTGGATTCTATGCTGCTCTGAGATTCGAAGTGGCTTTTCTAACGGCGAGCTTGAACAAATGTGGCGACGTCGCGCGCGTAGGCGATTCTGAACCGTGGCTTCGTACCCGACAGGGGGATGTGTACTCTCCTCTGAAGCTTCTTCTGCTTCTGCTTCGCTTTCTTTCTCCCTTCTTCCACGCCTCCGTTTCTCCCTTTAATAATTTATTCCCCTCTTTTTATTATCGGTAGTTACAAGAATATTAGGAAGCGAAACAAATGCCTCTATCTCATTTGATATATGTCTACAGCACAACAGGCTTTCAAAAGGATGACTATATACATGTATACAAGAAAGAGTTAATATGAAGTTTCTATTAATTTTGAGAAGCTCACCAAAACAATTATCACAGAACAACATATTTTAAATATAAAAAATAAAATTGTACGCATCATAGGATTGTTCCTGAAGTAACTATTTCAGACATGGAATTTCATTTTTTTAAAGATAGTTGCAAATTCAGTCTCCTTTAGAAAACACAGTAAGAAATATAATACGCACATAGTATTAAACGATCAGATGCGTATTATAAAAAACCAATTATTCCTTGATCACTTCCTTGACATGTCATTTGGACATAGATGACCGATTTTGACATTCTATTATCAGACGTATATCTTCACAGATGTTTAAAATTTGTTTTTTCTGTGACTAAAACGATTCTATAAGTTATTTTTTAATGAATGTACTTATTATACCTTTCAACCTTGCTATATGTATATAAATATAGAAAATGTAAGCTATGTTCAATATTTTAGATGTTGCAATAATTTCTGTAATATAATCAGTTTAAGTTATAATGTACTTATATACAATGTATCTCACAATCCATTCAGCAGGATTTTAAACACATAGACAATGAACATGTATTGATATCTTGTATTTGTCAAACACCACACTCCCCCTAGTTGGTGTCATTACTACCACTAATGTCATTGTACAGTCATTTGAAACTAAATTAACTACATCAAAGTAATGTAAAGTATTTAACTCCTACTTTGAATGCATTCTTATAATTCATAACAAGTGTTTTATTAATAATATACTTACTTTGTTATATATATATATATATATATATATAGATATATATATTTGTAATGATGGAATATATTTCATTTAGTTAACACTCAATCATACCAGCAACAATATTGCTGATATATATATATATATATATATATATATAAAGGTAATCCATTGAAATTCCCAAAATAAATAAATTGTTTACCCTTCTGAAATTTTTGGGTCTCACTGTTTGACAATTTTAAAAAATAATTTACTGCAATAAAGAAATATCAATGATTTTCATGTCAGTAAAAGTAATACATATTTTACTCAAACACATGATATATGTACATGTTTGTTTATTACATGTTTAATACTGATTTAAATCAGATACATTAACATTGATTTGAAACATATAAATATAAAGTAGATAAAAAAGATATAATCATGATATATATTCAGTTGAAAATTCATTTTATAAAGCTTTCTCAATTTAAAACAATTATTTATAGACTCTATTGAATTCTGCAATTTATTTAAGTTAATCCTAAACTAAAAAGCATATTTCTTTAAAATAGTCTTATAAAAAATTTAATTATAAAAATCAACTTTCTAGACTATGCATCTGTTTTTGTACTATTGTGTACACAATAAATGTAAAAAAATTGCTATTTTTTAAAAATTAACTCCTACCAATTATTATTAATTAATGGTAATATATGTATATATAAAGATTTGTTTGAGTTTCATATGGGTTTTTTATAGTTAAAGTGCATGTTTTTTCAGGAGAATTTAGTTTAGTTTGTTTAATTGTTTTTGATCATGACTTGTAAAGATTATAATTTATATATACACATACACACTTTAAAAATCAAAGACAAAAATATTCTTGTCATATACAAGGTCAATATTTGTAAAAACACTGTTTATAATATTACAAAATCACTTGTTTATATTCAAATGAATCCATAAAAACCAACATATGTATAAACATGTTTTTTTGAAATTTTTACCAAAATATCTAAAAATACATATATGATTGTTTTTAAATTGCATTTTAAAAAAAAATAAATTAATGAAGACTATTCAGTTATTTATTTATTTATTTATTATTTATTTATTTACCATGTTTTAGAAATAACTAACTTAATAAATTTAGAACTCAACATATTTGTTATTAATTTGTAAAATATAAGATTTAAAAATAATTCATATAAAATTAATTTTTTGTTCAGGTTTTAACATGTCATATATTAAAATTGTGGTTATTTTGTTACATATTTAGAATAGAGATGTTTAAATATTTGTATTAAAACTAAGGTGTATCAAAATTGATATGCTTATGTTTTATATATATATATATATATATATATATATATATATGTATATGAAATTGCTAGACATCCCTCTTTTAGTATGTGGATAGTTTTTGCTACCATATATATATATATATATATATATATATATGTAATAAAACTATAAAAAAAATTAGAATGTATTTAAAAAAAGAGATTTTCTAAACAAAATTAATAGGATCATTGAAATATATGCTATAATAAACTATAATAGCCTCTATAATATGATAAATTATAAAAATTATATTAAAAATCATGTAATAGAAATATTGAGTTAGTAATATAGGAAAAACTTAGTGAAACAAAAATTATTATGAAATATAGATTATTAAATGATATAATAATGAATTACAAAAGAATTATCGTATTTAAAAAATTGCTATGTAGATACCTTCATTTTGCCACATTGATACCTCTTTATTTAGTACATATTGCAAAAAATAAATATATTTAATTTAAATCATAATTCTTGTTATATTTATTATTTTAATATTAAAATTTAATATAACCTTATTCATATATATTTTATAGCTCCATTTCTTTAGTTGTTATTTTTTTTTACAAATATTTTTTTAAATTAATATTATAAATAATAATAAATATAAATAATATATTATTATTATTATTATTATTATAATTGTTCATCAATATCTTATATCTATATATCTATATATCTATATATATGAAAATATTAAATAAATCCATTTTTTTACTAAATTTACCTATAGAATTACAATTATAAAAACGGATCATCTCTAAAAATCATTATTAAAATTAAGGCCTTTATTATCATCTACCTTATTTTTAGCCCTTGCTTCCTCTGTTCTCGACCTACATCATAATCCCTCTCCCTTCTATATCTCTCATCTATTCTCTATAGTCTCAATCATCATTCAAATCCTTTTTATTTCTAATCCTTACTTTCAATCTTTATCAACTTTACTACTCCTCATACAAACTCCATTTGTTCGTAACCTTTGTTCTTAGTCAACATCAATGTTATCAACCTTTATACAAACTTTCATTACAATATTGAGAGTTTGTTGTGAATTTAATATAAAAAGGATTGGAGAAGAGATGAAGGTGTGCTAGATCAAACATGAAACAATTTTTAAATATGAAGAAAAGTACAAATCAAAGGTAAGTACAATAAGCATAATGAAATTGGTATGTATTTTTATCTATTTAGATCAAGATTAATGAAATTTTAGAAAAAATTAGATAATACATTTACATTCTTTTTAAGTAGGAAAATAAAAAAGGTTAGTTTGGAGATTTTGTATATAAATGCTAAAGCCAAATTATAGCACAAATAATTCTCTTAACACTAAGTGACAAAGTTTTACTACTTTTTGGTATGAATATTCTAATTTGACTCTTATTGATTTTAAAATTATACATAATAAGTATATAAAAAATTATTCCTAAATTATTCCTAGATTTTTCAAATTATAAATAGTTTTGAAACTTATACTAATAGTCTTTATATACTAACAAACAACTAACTATATTTTAAATTTGAATTGCTATAAAATTTTTGAAATATTAAAGTTGAATTTACATATATTTCATATTTAAATAATATTTTTATAAATTATATTTGAAATTTAAATATAATTTAAAATAAAATATAAACTTAATTTTCATACAACTTATTGATTCTAATTAAGTGTCAAATATAAGAATTTAATGAAGGTAAATAAATAAGTGAGCATTTTTTCAAAGATAGATGACAAAATAGAAATAAAAAATATGTATAGTAAAAAAATTTAGAATAGCTATTGCCAAAAGACAAGAAAATTAGAGACCTTTAAAACTAGAATAAAAATAAGAAAGGAGTTAATAAGAGTAAAGAAGGCTTCATTCTTGCCTCTATATATACTATCTAATTAAGAGCTATGTGGAGACATTCTAGAAGACCTCCAACA